TTCCAATTGAGAGTCACTTTGCCCTTCATTATTTTGAATTGTACAACTTAGATCAATTCGACTACATGGAAATTCAAGTACTTGAACTTATCCAATACTCTTTCAGTATAATGAGATTGAGATAATGCTAGTCCCTGGGGAGTTTTGATAATCTTGACCTCTAAGATCAAATTAGCAACTCCTAAGTCCTTCATATCGAACATGCTGGACAACATGCACTTAGTAGCATTTATATCATCAATGACTTTACTCATTATTGAAATGTCATCATCATACAAACAAACAATGACTTCATGATTCATAACATTTTTAATGTAAACACATTTATCACATATGTTAATCTAGAATTCATTTTCCAACATTATTTGGTTAAATTTAGCATGCCATTGTTTGGGTGCTTGCTTGAGTACATAAAGCGACTTCACAAGTCTTCATACTTTCTGTTCTTTACTAGGAACTACAAACCCTTCAGATTGTTTCATGTAAATTTCTTCCTTAAACTCTCTATTTAAGAACGCTGTCTTTACATCCATTTGGTGGATTTTAAGATCATGCACTGTTGTTAGTGCTATTAGCATCCTAATTGATGTTATCATTGTTATTGGAGAGTTTGTGTCAAAGTAGTCCAGACCTTCCATTTGTCTGTATCATTTAATTACCAGCTAAACCTTATATTTGTCAATAGTACCATCAGGTTTCATTTTCCTTTTAAAGATCCTTTTGATCCTAAAGATTTATTTCCTGGAGGAAGATCACCCAATTCCCAAGTGTGATTACTCAAAATTGATTTGATCTCACTATTGACAGTTTCTTTCCAATAAAATGACTCAAACGAAGACATAGTTGCATTAAATGTTTGAGGCTCATTTTCAAGCAATAGGGCCACCAAATCTGGTCCGAAAGAAGTAGGTTTCCATTGGCGAGTACTACGCCTAGGATCCTCACCATTTATTATATGTTCTGTTGATTCTTCCCGTAGTTGTCTAGATATTTCACTTGTCGAATCACATTCAGTTTTATACGGATAAATCTGTTAAAAACTATACATTATTTGACTCAATTGTCATATTAACATAAATCTCAGGTTTAACATATTTGTGAACCAAAATCCGGCAGGCCTTACTATTCACAACATATCCGATAAATACACAGTCTACTACTTTAGGTCCAATTTTAACCCTCTTAGGTAAAGGTACCTCTACCTTGGCTAAACACCCCAACATTTTGAAATATTTCAAGTTGGGTTTTCTTTTTTTCCACAACTGATATGGAATTAATTATGTTTTTTGATGGAGTACCCTATTGAGTATCTTATTAGTTGTAAGGATGGATTCCCCTCAAAGGTTTCGCGGTAAACCAGAATTGATCATGAAGACATTCATCATTTCCTTTTATGATCTACTCTTTCGTTCTGTCAAACCATTTGACTGTGGTGTATATGGTGCAGTAGTTTGATGAATAATACCATATTCCAAACATATCTCTGCTAAAGGAGATTCATATTCTACACCCCTATCACTCCAGATCATTTTTATCTTTACATTCAATTGGTTCTTCATTTCATTTTTGTGTTGCATAAATGCATCAATTGCTTCAGACTTACTACTAAGCAAATATGAATAAAAAATCGAGTGTAGTCGTCAATAAAAGTTATAAAATACTTTTTCCCCCACGAGATAGTGTCGACTTCATATCGCATATATCTATGAGAATTAAATCTAAAGTTTTGGAATTTCTTTCAGTAGACTTATAAGGATGTTTAACAAACTTACTTTCCACACAAATTTAACATTTTGATTTATTGCATTTGAATTCAGACAATACTTCTAGAGTAACCAATTTTCGGAAGGCTTTGTAATTTACATCTCTCAAACGGGAATGCCATAAATCATTTGACTCCAATAAGTAAAAAAAAAGCAGAATTATAATTAATATTAACAACAACCATTACATTTAGTTTGAAAATACCCTCATTGAGGTAGCCCTTTCCTATGAACATCTAATTATTACTTATTACAGTTTTATCACTAACTAGGACACACTTAAACTCGTTCTTACCAAGTAGTGCAGTAGAAACTAATTCTTCCTAATAGTAGGGACATGCAGAACACTGTTCAAAGTCAACACCTTGTCGGATGTCATTTTCAGCATTACTTTTCCAATTCCTGCAATCCTTGTTGTTGCTGTGTTTCCCATGAACAAATCTTTATCATTCTTAGCACGAATGTATGTCAAGTGGCACCTGAGTCAAGAAAACACTCCTTGAAATTTCCAACTAAGTTACACACTAAGATCATTGCACATAAGCTATTTACATCTTCCATCTCTTCTACGATGTTTGCTTAACTTTTGTCTTTGCCTTTGTCTTTATCCTTTCTGAAAGCACGAGAGTCAGAAGACCTATGACCAACCTTACCACAATTGTAACAGTTGCCTTTTAATATTTTCTTGGCCTATTCTGACTTCTGCCTGTTGCACTTCTTTCTCTTTTTGTCTTTGGTAGGATCTTCTTCAACAATATTAACTCCAATAATTGTTGAACTGTTACAAGGCTTCTTTTCGGCGTTTTTATTATCATTCTCAATCTTGACCCGAATCACAAAATCTTCAAGCTTTATTTCTTTACGCTTGTGCTTTAGATAATTCTTGAAGTCGTTCCACGAAGGAGGAAACTTCTCGATCATTGCAACAACTTGAAAAACTTCAGTAACTACCATATCTTCAGCAATCAAATAATTGAGAATAAGTTGAAATTCTTGCACTTGTGATCCAACAGTTTTACTATCTACCATTTAATAGTCTAAAAACGTTGCAACCACAAACTTTTTCATGCCTACATCTTCTGTCTTATATTTCTTCTCAAGTGCATCCCACAACTCTTTAGAAGTTGTTATTGCACCATGAACATTATATAATTCAACCTCTAAAGAACAAAGATGTAGCATTTACATAGGAAATCTGCATGTTTTCATGCTTCAATAATCATGATATTTTCTCTGTCTAGCATATCAGTAACATTAGGCGCTGTAGTTTATTCACTGGTAAATTTTTGCAAACCAAGAGTGGTAAGCCAGAAAAATATCCATTGTTGCAATGCTTCAAAATTCAAACTAGTGAATTTACTCCGTTTCTCTGCTTGTGGTACAATAGTTTGGGTTGGTGCAACAACAACCACTGTAACACCGTTGTTTGCCATTTCAGATAAAAAAAATCAATAAAATCTTAGTAAGCAATAACTTATAATTGCAGGCTCCAAGGAATATAAAATAAAGAAGATTTTTGTCTCCACTAAAACACATATTAATATATTACATATAATTTCCATAGGATTGTTGCCAATCTGTGTTAGAAAAAAAATCAGAATTATTGATTCTAATAAATTTTAGAGTAACACAAATTATCCCAAATTTACTTAAACGGTAAGAAAGATGAATTTAAATTTAATTCATAAAAACTAAAATTTGTAAAACGTACTAGAATCTGAAATTTTTAAACGGAAAAATATCAAGTCCACTGAACTCATGGTGTCCCCTTAAGAAAAATATTTCCCTCTAGTATCCGAGGTTTCATTTTGAATATGTCCTCCCAAGGTAAACTGATTTCAATCATCAGCGTATAGATACCGAAAACTTTGGTGTTAGCGAACTACTCAACAACAGTAAAGTACACTAAGAAAATTTAATTTTGTGCAAAAGAAGAAGAAGAAAATCAGAAAATTCATAAGGAAAAATTCTTAAGAGTCAATGGTATTTATAGGCAAGAGGAACATGTTTCAAAAGGTTGCAACCCTTTCAGAATCTACACGACCATTAATGAAAGTTTGAAACCTTTCAAATGGTATTGAATTTTTTCTGAAAGTTGCAACCTTTTTGAACAGTCATTTCTAAAATGGCGGGAAACTTAAATAAAACGGGAATAATCTCTCGATTGATCATTTTCCAAAGTCAAAGCCAAAGTCGTAGCCGAGCAAGCGACGACGGCGGCGTGAGGGGTCCTTATTTTCAACCTTTTTAACAATTAATAGGAGTGTTTCTATATGTAAACTCTCCTATTTTTCTTTCCACCACCGATGAGGGAAAAATGTCTTTTCATTAAAGCATAAGAGGATTTTTTTCAAGTTTCCAACTCTTCAAGTTCTCAATTTTCAAGTTTCTCTCTGTCCCTCTATTTCCCACCAATTCTTGCTACATACCAACAAAATGTAGTTTGGATTCTTCCAATAACTTTTTGATCAAATACTTTTTGTCCATTAGTTTTAAACTTTTCAAACTCTGAGCACGAAGTTGTAGTTTGTGTTATCGAAAATCGCTAAACTTCTTGTAAAGTAAGAGTTGCTGCAAAAGTATATTTTATGGCTATGAAAATGAGTGCATATTAATTATCAAGATACTCTTCTTGTTTGAATTTGAGTTATTTCATTTTCCTTGTATCAATTTTATTGATCTATCTAATTTACCCACAAAAAATATGGTAATTGCATAATCGAAAAACTGTCACAATCTTCCTTGTGATAACTATAAAAATAGGAAACTAACAACATTCGTAGTTTAAAAGTGTGAACCCCCATTCTATATTTATAGAAAACAAAAATTAGTATGAAAAGATTCTTATTGTGTCTTTTCAAATAAGTCAAAAGTCTTCATAAAATCACGACTTTTCCAAAATGTCATAAATCATCAAAAAAGTCGCAACTCTTTATATAAAAAAAGCCATAACCTTTGCGAATATTCACTACCCATCTATGTGAAAAGGTGTCTACTTTTAAATAATATTGTGTATATAAATATAATATTAAATATATAATATACAATAAATTGAGTATTTTAAGTTTGGGTATTATAATAATTTAACATTCATGCAAGGGAGTGCATGCTTTTAAGGTAGCATAAAGATTAATATTAAATATAAAAAAGTATAGAAAAAAATAAAGGGGCCCACTTATCCCTTTTTAAATTGGAAACGTGTAAAGGCACTTTTAACTCATTTAAAACACTAAACGAGATTAGTGAGGGTTTTAGATCTGAAGCTACAATTTCCATCTTTTTAATTTCAATCCTTCTGCTTCAATGTTCAGGCTGACGATCCTCCTGGCGGTCCTAATAGCCAGTTATTCCAGCAACTGCTCAAACTCTTTCTGTGAAGAAACCTAGACAGATAACTCCGGGTTTCAGTAAAAAAAGCCACAAATTGGGAATTTTAGTAATCTTAACCAACTTCTTGATGTATTTTTTAATCTGATTATTGTGGTGTCAGATCAATCTTTGGTACACCTCCTACGAGCAATGAACAAGAATTATCAGGTAACTTTCTTTTAATGGTTATTGTAGATGGTTTATTTATCTTAATTTTTCATGTCTTATAGAATATAGAATTTCAGCATTTTTTCTTCTGTTACATACATTCCATGAGCATTCATGAAAATGTTAGATCGATTAGTTGAACAATTGAGAAACTTCTGATATAAATTTCAGAAATTTAACTCGTAAGGCAAAAAAGTAACAACATACCCGATGTAATTTTGCGTGTGAGGTTTGTGGAGGATAAAGTATAAATTGACCCAAACCATATCTCGTAGAGGTAGAGAAATGTTTTCTAGTATACCTTCAGCTTAAATTAAAGAAACTTTTGAGACAATATATTTAAAAAGAGAACTCCTATGAAAATTACTATAAATTATAGAAGGACGTTGACATGTATACATATGTAGAGCCATTACCGCGATTTCTCCGTGGTTGCTATAGAAGGATGTTGACATGTATACATATGTCTGAGAAAAAAGAATTTATAGGGATCTATCGAGTCTATCAAGTAATTTGTCTCCTCTAATTTAATTTCGTTACACCAAAAGTTAAACTAAATACAACTCGTCTTGATCTTTTGTGATGAATCTACTAACCTTCAAAAGTACCAACATTTCTTCCTGTGCAGATTGACTATATACGATCTTCCACCATAAATGATTCAAGTGTCGAAAAGATGCACTTTTTACAAAAAAAATGCCTATTCAACAAAGTGTGCAAGAATAATGGGGTAACTACATTTATATAGGTAGGTTAGGAATTCTTAGGCACAACTTTTAACCATAGAGACTTCTTCAAAATATATTGTTTCCCTAGGAACTCCAAATAAAACGTTTCCTTCAATCAGGGGAACTTCCAGATATATTTGCATGACATGAATTAAGGCACAAAATAGCTTAAGAGTTTCCCATCACTCAACAGTCTCTTCACTATGTCTATCAAGACTTTAAGACTACTTTTACTTGCTTATTAGAGTGACCATTAAACAAAGGACAATTCATTTTTCAATTTATTTGTCCATTTATTTGTTATACATACTTATTAGGGAAAGGTTTAAAATTACCCTTCAACTTTCATTTAATAGCTATCTTTACCCTTCGTTATACCATTCCGTCATTTATACCCTCGTTGTTTACAAATTTGTCATTTGTACCCGTCATTATAGAAGTTTCCCTGATGGAAAGAAATATTTTATTAGTAATCCCTAGGGAAACCATATTTTACAAAGAGGTCCCTATGGTAAAAAAGGTTGCCTATGAATTTCGAGTCGTCGTATATAAATGTCTATGACCCCATTAGTCTGGAACACTTCGTTTAATATGGATTATTTTCTACAAAGTTCCTTTTTTTGATACTTGATTCAGTTATGGTGGCAACTCTTATATGTTCAATTTGCACCGGAACAAATGTTGGTACTTTTGATAGTTAGTAAATTCATCACAAAAGATAAAAAAGGAGTTGTATTTAGTTTAACTTTTGGGGTAAAAATAAATTAGAGGACACAAATTCCATGATATAATCGATGAATCTAATTTTTGTTTTTTGTATTACAAGTCACCTTATAAATATCTAATTAAAAAGGATAAACTCTTTATTTCTTACTCTACAAAAAGAAAATGTCAGGAAGGGATTTCTATAAACAAAGAAGAAGGTGTGATATTGACACATGTGTGGCTAAAATAATTTTTCAATATAACAAATTTTGGTTGGTCACTAATTTTTAATAATTTGATCAATGTAATATTACAGCCTAGAAGTGTAGCCGCACTTAAGACCTACTTTTATTTAGAAATTACAATACACATCAAGGATCATAACTGAACAAATGAAGGTATTAAATAAAAGAAAATTTGATAAATTAATTAATCGATCAAAAAAATTCGTTGTAAAATATAATCATAAGAAAACATTCTTATTATTATTTTTTTTAAAAAAATCATCTATTATTTCTTCTTTCTTGTTTTTTCTATTTTTTTTGAACTAGGTAAACTACCCGCTCTTCATGCGGTGGTGAACTACGTTAATAATCTACATCTGAATATTTGATAATATAAGTGTTTTCTAGAGGGTACAGCTCTATGATAAATTTCTATAATTATTTTATCCAACAAAGAAATTAAATGTTTTTTAATTTTAAAACGAAAAAGATTTTATTTAAGTGTTTAAGAATATTTGAATAATTCTTCAATTTATTGTAGTTGTTTATCACCAAACTCATTAGAAAAGATATTTAAGTGTTTTGTTTATATTTATATTTTCAAAAAGTGATACAAACATTTTATTCATCAGTTGCGAGAGTTGTTCTCCTGCTCAAGGACTCTACAAACAGAATCTAAATATTATAAATCTTCTATAATCAGTTGTGTACTTGATAAGTTAATAAAAATATAAAACACATCTCGTGGAGCACAATGAAATAACGTATGTCGGTTAAATAGTTTGGATTAAATGTTGTCTTGTAAAGTTCCTTATTCAAAATCATACGCACTGGATGATACAAATTTGATAGACAAAAGACATATTTTGTTATGTATGTTTCGATCAATATGGTTAAAACTTTATTTTCTGAGGAACTTTAATCTAAAGGTTATAAGGAGATAACTATTTCCTTAATATTTATTTAATATAGATACATCCTACTTTGAGGGTTAATTCATTGACTCAAACCCCACATTTGAACCCCAAAAGTCTGATTAATGTTGAGTACAACACTTACCAACCCACTTCCTTTATTTTTTGGAAGTCACTAATCGATTGAATGTCTCGATAACAAAGAATGTTGGATAAAAGTCCGAGGTAGGGCGGAACCACCATATTTTTTAACACTCAAAGTTCCTTCTTGTACATCCAATGAATCTTTTAGCCGCTGAAAACTCTAGAAAGATCAAAGTCATTTATTTTAGAAGTTTATGAATTTTAATCTACGTGACACCATTAGTCTAATGATTACATCAAACTCTTGACTGACATGCATGTATTTTCTTCAATTTAATGATCAAAAGCATAAACATAAACAGCGAAGTTTAAAACATGTAATCAAAATAAAAATTAATAAAATAAGCATAAATTAATGACTGTAAAAAACATACTGGATGTGTAATAATAAAATGAAACATAAAGGAAAAAATTAAGGCCACTAAATGCACATTATTCCCTTAAGGAAATTATTTCTTTCTAGTAACCGAGGTTTAAAGGGAATAGATCCTCTTAGTAAAGAACGATTCAATTTACCAGTGTTTTGATACAAAAATAATGGTATCAGTAAGTCACTAAAAGGAGTAAAGTACGCGAATATTGAATTGTGTAGAAGAAGAAGAAGTTCAGAATTTTCGTTGTTTTTAAAATGACAAAAATTCACTCTATTTATATAAAAAAAAGTGGTAGTGTGAGTAAACACTTATTGTATCTTATCAGAAAGGTCACAACTCTTTGGAAAAGCCAAAATCTTTCATAAAAGTCAAAATCTTTCATAAAAGTTTCAACTGTTCATGAAAGTCGCAACTCTGCATTAAAGTTGCAACTCTTCAGAAAAGTCGCAACTCTTTATAAAAATCATAACTTTTCATAAAAAGCTATTGCAATATTTCATAAAATTCACAACTTTTAATAAAAGAGGAGGTTGATTTTGGAAATAAATAAGTTAAAAGTGAATCATGATTTGTGTTGGTACCAAATAGGCGGGCTTATATCAAATATACAAAAAGACAAAAAGTACTTAACAAAAAAACATAATTATACATAATATCAAGACATAATTAATTTAGACAAAGATTAACATAAATGATTAATCAAACATAAAGAACATACTTCATTATTTGTAAGCTAATAAAATTACATTGCAAATTGAATAGGGAAATCCCTAAAAGTGGTGATGGGAAGCAATAATGAAAGTCAATGCCAGTTGAAGTTACACTAAAATAAAGATTAAATTGTTTTTTTAAAACTTAGTCTTCCCATTTTTTCTTCTACTTTTTTGCAAAGGATCTTCTATTTTCTTCGCTTGTTTCTTTTTTTTAGGAAAATGAACAAAGAGGAGGGTGTTAAATAGGTTGAGAATATTAAACACCACATGTGCTTGAAACTTAACAATCAACGCATGAACGAAACTTTTTGTCTTCATCAAGTACAATCTAAAATGACTTACAATTGTTTTCCCTTTTTCCAATTTCAATAAAAGATAATTGAAAAGGACTTCATTTCTCATTGGAAGGTCTCATTTTGTTTTATTCGTTAATTGCATAAATGTTTAAGACCATTTGAAAAACTAAAAATAGCTCCAATATGTAGAAAACATTAGATTTTAGTCATCAAGACCTAGAATTCAAAAGTAAATCAGGACACTAACACAAAAATTAGACATTTAATCTACCTTTAAGATCAAATGCTACTAATTAAAAATAACAAAAACAGTAATATTCGATCAAAATTAGGAAACAAAATTAATAATGATATTAATAGGAAATATATAATGTGGCAATAAAATGACTTGTATGGTTAAAATGTAATGATAGTGACAAATTTTGATAGAGGTTGAGAGGGTGAAAGATTGGTATAAATTATTTTTAGGAGGGAATGAAGGTTGCTTAAAAATTCGTCGAAAACTTTTTCGACGGAGTTTTGGCATAAAACTTTTATCAAAGAATCTTTTGAAGAGCTCTACACATTTACGTAAAAGGTATAGGATAGAGATACTGAAACTCCATAAATCTAAACAGAAAGTGATGATTAGTGTTCGATTTTTCTTAAATCTATGAAGTTTGGTAATGAACCAGAGTAAATGGTTTGTAGATTTTTGTAGAGGAGAGTAAAAGGAAAATGTGATGAAATATTGGAGTAATTTGCCACCGATAATGGCGGTGACGTTCAGCGACGGCGGTAGTGGTTGGTTGATGAGTCCACAAATTGGACTCATTTTGACACGACCCAAACTGTCGTGATTGACACCCACACTAAACATTCGCTGGGAGAACCACTACTACAATCCAAACTAAGCAACTAAACCAAAACTAAGACAACAAAGTTACGAAAATAAGTTAATTACTAACTAATGCGGAATTAAATACCTTGAACCTAAAATTCAATGTATCAAAACTCTACTAAAGAAAACTCTAAGAACAAGGGCTACAACGCCAAAACTATCAACAGCTCAAAGTAATCATCACAAGTAGATACACAACACAATTTAATAGTCCTATCACCGAACCTAATTCAATTGTCCTCTCGATGAACCCAATGCAATGGTCCTCTCATGGAACATAAACTAAAATTGTTAGTACACCGGCATGGTACCTAACCCCAGTTAGCTTATATGAAAATGGAAATACGATCCCATAGTTGTGCCTGAACATGACAACTGATCCAATGTTTATGCCAAAATGTGGCAATCCAATCCAAGTATGCTTGCCGGATCGTGGTCCGATCCCATCAACAAACCACGATCACATACACAAATACATGATTAAGATCATACAACAAGAGGTGATTCATGAAAAATAATTATTCAATTTTCCTCATTTATGATTAAGGAGATCAATAATGCAACATTCCCATGTATACGTGCATTATAAATAAGCAATTAAAAACATATATCACCCAAACATGAAATCACAATCATCACCTACCTCGAATCCAAGCTTGAATCCCCTAAGGCCCTTGAATCATTACTTTTCGGATTGTTTTCGCTTTTTCTAGTTCTACAACAATTAATATTCGCAAAGATCAACAATCAAACGTCTAATTATTAAGATTATAACAAACCCAATAACCTCTAGATAAAACCCAAGATCCTAATACCCAAATTAGGGATTTTTCTGTCATAATTCTTTGATTAAAACTCTTCCCCATCGATAATAACCCAAGCAATAAGGTTCTACAGATCAAAAAGTGGATTCAGGGAGTTAAATTCTTACCTTTAGCCTAAAAAATGGTGAGAACTGCTAAGAAGTCGTCTAGGGTCGCTTTCTTAGCCCTAACGATAAAAAAATATGGTCATTTTAGTGTTTATAGGTGATTATAAATGGCATCTATACCGCTCCAGAGGACCCATCTCGATGCAGCGGCTCCGCATCAGTGGCATGAATCCCGCTACAGTAGCCTTAGCTGGTACAGAATGTACCCATTCATGAAAAGATTATTTTCGTTAGTTCTACTCGTCCAAATTCGATTCCGTAAAGTGCTACGGGTTGCTTATCATCTTATATATCAACTAATGTAATAAAATTCCAATTATATCTTTCATTCATTGACATATTTTTCTACACGTTAATGACTCTAATTTCATCCGAATCTCGGGTAACCTAGGAATTTCAAGTTACTTCCAAAAAAAATTCTGGACTCAATTCTTTCTTCATTGACTTTTCCAGACGATAGAATTATATCAATACATAGTTAGAATTTTGACATAATTAGTGTCCTCAAATGGTTATTTTTTCTCAATAACTTATGAGTAACCTTAAGTTTCAGGTATTTTGAGTTTGAGGCAAAGCATGGTCACTATTTGGAAAAAAGGAACACAAAGGTTGCAAAGAACTAAGAAATGAAGTCCTGAAGATCTTTGAGTCCACACAACAAGTCTCCATCAGGCATGAAGATCGCCTTTTGTTCCAGTGTGATAACCCTAGAAGTAAGGGATCAAAACGAATTGAAAAGAAGTAATGAGTAGTTCTAAGTCACCTAATGATCTAAAACACCACGATGCTGAAGCATAGAGCTTGCCAGCAATAAAACCTACCAAAGGGCAAATTGTCAAGTTGATCAGTGATATGGACTAACTACGCTGAGTGATCCGCTACTACACAAATCTTTGAAAACTATAAATACTCGTTTAGAGTTGTAGCTTGGTATCAGACTTTTTACTTAGAACTTTAGATATAAAATTTTTACTCCTATTTTTGAGTTCTATGTTTGGAGCGGGTTTTGAAGTAATTGAAGATTCAAAGAGTTTAATCTCTATGAATTTTGGCTTGGGTCTTTTGAATTCTTCATTGTTGGTTTGTATCAAGACTTAACTTTTTATACCCATTATAATGCAAACTCAATTTGGTATAAAAATCAATCTCTTTTTCATCTAATGCTAAAACTCGAATTCTTGGGGTGTTATTTTGTGAATATGGAATAGATTATTTGATGGGTTTTTGTTGTTGATGATTTATTTGTTTTAGAGGTGCTTTCATTTAGTAGTTGTGGTGGACGTTAATAAAACTATAGTTGCAAATACGATTCCACCTTTATGTTTTCGGCTTGCTCGAGAGAGAATTCGTTAAACTAAGGCTAATAAATTTATGGCTGGTGGGAGTTGTTCGACATGAGGTTCAGCTCGGGAGAGTGAACCCTAGTCCTTCTCCTACACACTCAGCTTGAGAGAGTGAGTGGTGTAAGGCGGAGGTTGTTCTTCATGCGACAAGTGGGTGTCTAGCCTAGTCATTCTATTCACCCACTCTTTGAAAAGAGCCACGGATGACCAGCGCGGTCTGTAGGTCGACCCATAGTCCATAGGTCTAACCGTAGGTGGGAACTAGCAAACAGTTAGAGGGGAAATTTAGTTAGGTCAACTTTAAATGGTCATAACTCTTACCACAAAATGAATTAGGTTCCCCATGACTTACCAACATATAGATAATTTAATTAGATTTTCATAGTCACCGACCTTTCTAAAATCTAACATCTGAGTAAAAAGTTATGCCCATTTTAGTAAAGGTCTCTCCAACATGCCCAACCTTTAGATCAAACGACATACCATCGATGGAAATAGGGACCGTCAGTCCTGGTCACTGTTTGGTTCGACAACAACTTACCCAGGGGTCTTTCGGTCTTTTCTCACTTTGTTTAAACCTAAAGATATGTCGTTTTGACCCTAAATCATCAGATTTTATTCAGTTTAAGCCTAGAAATATAATTAAAGATTACCTAAGTCAAATTATTAAATCAAAAGTTAGAAAATCAGAAGCACGAAAGGAGAAAGAAGCAAGTTTGCAGCTGTTCCAGCCCCAAAATTAAGTGTTTCGCCGTGAATTTCATCACCAGGGATGAGAGATTTCACTAGTGGGTTCCTTTCGCCCATTTCATGATTAGACCTAGGGTTTCTAGAACCTCAACAGAACTTCATGAACTTATTAGTTATATGTTCCAAACAATATTATGATGTTATTATTAAGATTATTGCATGAATTTTAGAACCCTAGCTATGTATTTCTTTAGTTTTTGAATTACACATGCTAGGTCAGATATTTCAGTTACTTCAGATATACATTCCTCAGTTATAAATGCATAATTACCAGATTAATTGTTGCATTCGCAGTTTTCATGTTTAGTTTTGAGATATCCAGTATTTATAGAAAATGCATACATAATCAGTTAACTATATAAATCCGTAGGAGTAGCATAATGACGAGTTTGACTAGGGTTCAGCTTACCCAATTAGTCCCAGAATTACTAGACAAGTAGGTTGTAAGTCCCCTCTTTAGGCAATCAGTTTACTGACCATGTCACCATACCAATATACCTTTGGCATGGTATATTGGGTCCTTTCGATGGGGCGTATACATCAGACTCCACATTTAGCTCATGTAGTTTTATTATCAGTTACTAGTAGCTCCCACTGTTCAATCAAACTCTTTGTATTAACTATTTATCAGTATATTCAGTATTCATTTTCAACATGTTATTAATTGGTAATTGCATCCGGCTAGCTGAGAAATAAGCATATCATGTTCAGATTATTATACATGCTTTTGTGCTTGCTCAATTATGTTTTATTGAAACTTTATTCTATCCTACATGCGCAGTACCTTTCACGTAATGACGCATACGTGCGATACATCTTCTCGTGATGTAGGTTCATGCTCTCAGCATCCAGATCACGCATAGATCGATTTTTGATCTTGAGATCAGCAGATTGAGTGCTGATTCCTCATTTCTCCGATGAAAATAGACTTGACCTTGTGTCTAGTATAAATTTTTTTACTTTCAGTTTTTTCTAGATTTAGCTAGGACTTGTCTCAGTATTTCTAGTCAGTTAGAGGCTTATTTCAGACAATGTTAGATTAATCTTAGCATTGAGTTAATATTTTCTTTGTATTAAACTCATTATTTTTAAATATCTCAGTTATAAAATATGAGTATTCCCCTTTTTTTTGACCAAATTATGATTTAGGTTTCGCATCATTTTCTATTCTTTAGTATGCTCATGATTATGCCAGCAGAGTTAGCTTGGATAACTTGTGGTCCTAGGTTCCGTGTCTGCGTCGAGGGGGTAGCTTGGGGCGTGACAAAAATTGATATCAGAGCTCTAGGTTCAAGAGTCTTAATATGTGTTAAAACCGTACTAAGTAGAGTCTTTTTCATGGGTGCGAAGTGCACCACATCTAATGAAAGGGAGACTACAAATTGCTTTTGGGAAAACTTCACTTTCTTGTTACTCTTATCGTGCGTAAGATAAGATTTGATTCCATTCTAACCCGATGTTGTGCGCTTAAGAACATGCCTTCTCGTAGAGTTTAGGCCTGGAATGCTAATGCACACAATGCTAATGCAGTTCCTCTTGTACCTGATAAGGAAGTTCTAAAGTAGAGTTTTAGAACGTCAATTCAGCTTTTGACTCAGAGTATGACCAACCAGAACAATTAGCAAGTTCGAGTTCCTACTAATAGAAAAGTTCGATTAGTGGAAGACAAAGTTTATGATTTTGTTAGGATGAATCCGCCTATGTTTTTATGGTCACAAGTTTGTAAGGACCCATGAATTTCATTGTTTAGGTCATGAAAATATTTGGTGTGATGCAAGTAACTGGTAGTGATAGCTGAAATTGACATCCTACCACCTTAAGGATGTGACTCACAAATGGTTAAATTTACTAAGCTGGAAGATAACAGAGATGACTTTGTCTTTTGTAACTGAGTATAGCAGTCCAATTCAGTGTTCGACAAGAAACTCACTCAGAATCTTTCTCAGTCTCTACTCTAGATGGTGACCAGTTATAGCTAGACGGGTATAGAGAAATTGCCTTGTCACAGTCTTACAGAAAGTCACCTTAACAGATCTTGTAGAGTTAGGCATAGTAGACTTCGATGTCATTCTAGACATGGATTGGTTACATTCCTATTATGCCTCAGTCAATTATAGATTTAGGATTTTTCATTTTCAGTTTCCAGATGAACAAATCTTAGAATGGAAAGGTAGTAGCTTAACGCTTACGAGTCGATTTATTTCTTACCTTAACGCCAGAAAGATGATATTTAAGGGTTATCTCTATCATCTAATTCAGGTTAAGGATTCTAGACATGAAACCCCAACTCTTGAGTCAGTTCCAGTAGTCTGTGAGTTTCGAAAGAGTTCAAGAAGATCTTCCCGGAGTCCCTCCCGAAAGGAAAATCGACTTTGGAATTGATCTCCTTCTAGATTCCCATCATATTTCTATTCATCCATACAAAATGGCTCGAGCTGAACTTAAGGAATTGAAAGAGAATTTTAAAGACGTTCTAGATAAGGGCTTCATAAGACCTAGTATTGCACCATAGGATGCACCAGTGTTATTCGTAAGGATGATAGACGGTTCTCTTAGAATGTGCATTGACTATAGATATTTCAACAAGGTCACAATCAAGAATAAGTATCCCATCCCAAGATTTATGACTTCTTGGACAAACTTAAGGGTGCTAATCAATTCTTAAATATATACCTCAGATTGGGTTATCATCATCTTAGAGTCAGAGATAGTGACATTCCGAAAAAAGCCTTTAAAATTGAATAGAGTGTTCAAAAAGTACTTGGACTTATTCGTTATCGTATTCATGGATAATATTCTCATTTATTATAGGATTGAGAAAGAACATGCGAGTCATTTGAGAATTGTTTTACAGACTCACAACGATCGCCAGTTATTCGCTAAGTTCAGCAAATGTGAGTTCTAGTTGCAATCCATTGCTTTTGTTGGTCACATTGTATCTAGAGAAGGGATATGAGTGGATTCACAGAAGATAGAAGCATTGAAACAATGGCCTAGACCTACCTCTGCTGCAGATATCAGAAGTTTCTTAAGTCTAGAGGCTTATTATAGAAGGTTGGTGAAAGGAATTTCCTCCATAGCCTCACCATTGACTAGGTCGACAAAGAAGATGGTCAAGTTTCAATAGTCAGATGATTATGAGAGAAGTTTTGCAGAGTTGAAAATAAGACTGACTACAGCTCTTTTCTTGATTCTCCTAGAAGATTCAGATGGTTATGTCATCTATTGCGATGCATCCAGAGTTGACCTTGGTTGTGTGTTAATGCAACAAGATAAGTTTATAGTGTATGTCTCTAGACAACTTAAGGTGCATGAGAAGAACAATCTGACTTATGACCTCGAGCTTGTAGCAGTGGTGTTTGCACTCAAGATAAGGAGACAGTACTTGTATGGTATTCCTGTAGAAGTGTTCACCAATCATAAGAGCTGTGTTCACCAATCATAAGAGCCTTCAGTATGTGTTCACCCAGAAAGAAATGAATCTTCTCCAGAGGAGATGGACAGAGTTCCTTTTAAGGATTATGGTGTGAGTGTGCACTATCATCCTAGTAAGGCAAATGTAGTAGCAGATGCCCTCAACAAATTATCTATGGGTAGTGTAGCCCGTGTTGATAGAGAAAGGAAGGATCTAGTGAAGGATGTTCACAGGCTTGCCCGCTTAGGAGTTTTCCTTATGAGCATATCAGAGAATGGTGTAACAGTTCAGAATGGGACAGAATTTTCTTTGGTACTGCATGTTAAGGAAAATTAAGAAAATAATCCAATTTTGCTTGAACTTAAGAATGCAGTCCATTATCATAGACTTGAGGTTTTCTCCCAAAGGGGAGATGATGTACTTCGCTACCAGGGTACATTGTGTGTTCCTGATGTGGGCAAGTTGAGACACCATATTCTTGCAAAAGCCCATAACTCTAGGTATTCTATTCATCCAGGTGCCACTAAGATGTACCGCAATCTGCAGGAAGTCTAGTGGTGGAATGGAATGAATAGGGTTATATCAGACTTAGTGAGTAAGTGCCCCAATTTCCAACAAGTCAAGGTAGAACAT